GAGCACAGCACAGCATCTGGGGTGAGGCCCTCGGACCTGCCTTTCTAACAGGTTCCCAGGGGCTGCGGCTAGTGGTCCAGGGGCCACACTGCAGGACCAGCAGTGTAGACAAGCACAGCGGCCCTAAACCCAGGCTGCGCATGCAATCATCTGGGATGAGTTTTTTAAATCTTGATGCCTGGCTTCACCCCCAGAGATTCTGATATAATAGACCTTCTGTGGAGCCCGGCTGGTGTCGTTTTCCAAGCTCCCCAGGCCCTTTCATGTGCAGTCAGGGATGAGAACCACTCGTGCTGAAGCTTCCTAGAAAAGCGGGGAGTCTGGGCAGCAGAAGCCACATTCAGTCCCGAACTGCCAGCTTGAATCAGTTTGTTTGTCTGCATGTCCTTTCCCAGAGGCGGGTGGAAGCAATGCACTAAATGAGCGTCCTAACGTGATTTTCGCCACTCAGAACTGATGCTCTGACTGGGATGCTTTAAAAATGCATTTCCGTGGTAGTCAAGTAAAAGCTCTCAGACACCGGTTGATATTTTTTCTTAACAATGCTGCCCTCTAGTGTCCTTGAGCAGAATCGTGTTAAAAACCCACCTCGGCTATCAGTACAGTGACTTCCTGCTAGAGAGTTACAGTGACTTCCTGCCAGAGAGCTAAATAACTTGGGGGATTTTTCTCTGACTTAAAAAAAAAAAAATTGAACAAATTTAATATGCGTTAAACTAAATTTTACTTTGTGGCCACATGGATCTCCATCTGCTGGCTCTCCATTCTCTGCATTCCTCCCTGCATTCTGTGCAGCAGCCTCCTCCTGCCAGACTCCTCTCTGCATTCCACCAGCCCTTCCCTGCAGAGTCAGCAGCCAGGCTTATGGGGAGCAAAGAAATCGCCCTCAACTAAAGTGCCTGGGGCCTGGGGGCATCTTGCATGGGCTCCTCCACGCTCAGAACTGTTCCTTCTCGCCTTTCCCTCACTGCGCACCTTGATTTCACTTGATTGGAGTTTATGACAATGTGCTATGCTGGGCTGTGCCTAGTCGCTCAGTCATGTCCAGCTCTTTGCAGCCCTCCCCATGAACTGTAGCCCACCAGGCTCCTCTGTCCATGAGATTCTCCAGGCAAGAATACTGGAGTGGGCTGCCATGCCCTCCTTCAGGGGATCTTCTTGAACCAGAGATCAAACCCATGTCTCTTACATTTCCTGCACTGACAGGCAGGTTCTTTACCACCAGCACCACCATTCACCAAACAGGGTCTCCCCCGCCTTTATGATGACTTCTCCAAACCTCCCAGGGTCGCGCCATCTTGCGTGAAGCGTCCTTCCCACTCCAGGGGTTTTGTCCGCCATCTCACTCTGCCCAGTCTCTCCCTCCCCATTCTCCCCAGTCTCCTAGCCCACACCCCCAGTTAAATCCTCTCTCTAGATTACTCTCAACGGCATACAGGCTTTCTCTTACATCTTTCAGTTTTAAAATAAAAATCTCCTTTATCCTAAATACCCACTTCAGCTGCTCCCTCTTTCTCGGCTCCATTCATTTCCCAACTCGAGTCCACCCCGGTTGTCTCTAATACCTTGCCTTCCTCATGCCCATTCCTCAGTCAGCTCCAGCCTAGCCTTGGTCCAAACGCACCGAGGACAGTGACGCACTCTTCAGGGTCTTCGCTGACCTCCATTGCTCTGTGCCTTTCTGATTCAAAGGCTCACATGTTCCAGTCTTCAGGCACAGGTCCTCCTGCAAGCCGTCTCCACTCTTGATTCCAAACGTTCCCCCCTCTGGCTTCCTTCCTACTCTTCTGGCTGCCAATGACCCAGAACCCCACAGTTCCCAACTCCTGCTCCGGCTTTCGAAACTCTTTTGTTTTCTCTGGGCAGACTTCCCTTACCTAGTCTCATTCACTCATGGATTTAAATACAGTTAATACACCATTGATGAACAAATAGCTCGCCTCCAGCCCAGGTTGCTCACATATCATTATCCAGTTATCTCTACTCGACATCACCCCTCTGTCTCTCACAGGCATCTCTATTTTTGGTGTGTCCTAAGAAAGACCCTGACTCTTCCTCCCAAACCTGTTCCTCCCTCAAATTTCCTTGATTCCTCCTTTTCCTCACCTGCCACATACAGTCCTTGGGGATTCTATCCACAAAACAGATTTTGATCCGTTCATGTCTGTGTCTTTGCTACCACCTCCCAATTTCAAGCCCCCATCTCCTTCCAGGAATGCTACAGTAAACCTCCTAATGATCTTCCTGCTTCCTCCAGCCCTCACCTCACATGGTCAGATAGTGTTCTGAAATATATACTGCATCATCATTCCCTTACTTAGAAGTATTAGTCACTTCCCATCAAGCCCTGAATAGCAGACACGGTTTGCCCTCTGCCAGCTTCATCTTGTAGCCCTACCTTCTTTCCTGACTCAGCTTCCTCCACCGTGGCTTACTGATTGTGAGGTTCACCAAGCTCTGTCCGGCCCCAGGGCCTTGACACATGCTGTGTCGAATGCTCTTTCCTTGTTCTTCACCTGACTGGCCCCTTTTTATTTTGTATGCCTAAACATTACTTCTTCCTTGACCAACTATCTATGTCTTCCTTCTCATTCCTGATCTCAGTCCCCTATTTGCTTTCTTCATAACACACTACATTTTGTGGTTACCTACTTGTTTACATCTCCATCTTCCCCACTCAACTCTAAACTCCCTGAGTCCAGGAACTTTATATCTGTCTTACTCACAGATGAACCCAGTGCCTGGCAAATATTAGGCTGTTAGTACATTACGTGAAATAAGGGAATGAAGGAACGGGAAGGGTCACAACTTCCACTCCACCCTACCTGCTGTTTTCAAGACCTCGGTGACTCCCACACGGCCAAGCCCCTGGACCACATCATGTGCTCATCTTACTTGATTATGGAATAGAGACAGGGGAGCATCTTGGGTTCATTTATTCCCTGTTAACCTCGTCAGGGTTTACCAACATGTTGGATTCGCCACAATATCTCCCGCGCCCTGTACAGCAGACTCCTCATAAATCCTGTTGGTTGAATGAATATCTCAGTTCTGAATGAAACAGGATGTGAAAGGAAAGGGAACTAGTACAACGGTGGAGAGCTCCAAAGAGAGAATGCTTAGGGGCAGATATTTAAGGAATGGCTTTGAATTTCCAGAAATGTTAGCACACCTATTCGTTTCTATTTAAAGACAGGAAAAATGTTTCATGTAACATTTTGTGCCTCATTTGCTTTGTAGAGGAAGAACTACCTTCATAGATTTGGTTGTTGAGTAATAAACTGATATTTAGGAGTCCCTCTCCAAGAAGGAAAAATATTTTCTTTACATGCCAAATTTTACCTCTGTTGGGTAGACTCTGGTGAGTAAAAGCATTCCCACCTTCCAAACAAAGACCAAGGGCAATTTAAAATACTTTATGTAAGTCAAACAAGCAAGGAAGCTAGGACCCTAACCCTCACTGTCTCATTCCAAATCCTGTCCCTGATCAATTAAGACAGTGCTCGCTGGTGAGAAATAAAATAACACATCTACTCAATTATAGTTTGAGACAGGATTTGATTCTGCTGAAGGACATGTAACCTACCAGGTATTATTAGTAGGGTAAGAAAAGCCCATGACCTGCAACCTCTTGAACATGTGAAATGACCTGGCATCCTGGGTGTTTGACTGACCTGGTTTGTAGAAGAAACCCAACCGTGTATGTGACTTTTCACTCAATTGAACTTCAGGCTCTCCATGCTCTCTGGCTCTGTATCATATTAGCTCGTTCCAAGAGGATTAGCTCAACTCCACCCCTCTGGGAAGAGATTCATTTTCCTGTTTAGGAAATGTGATGTCAGGCTGAAAGAGGCTGATGAGCAAACAGTGGGGCCACATGGAGGTCCAGGTGAAATGCATGACATGGGTGTCTTAGAATGAAGTTTGGTACAAAGTGGTCAAGGACAGGGTGTGCCAGTGTGGGCTGGGAGCTGTTGGGGCTTCAGCTGTTTGTCCAGCATTTAATATGTTTATCTTTCTGCTAAACACTTTGTTTTTGAGTCATCTCTATTAAACAACAACCCTGTGTGAGGCTTAGCTCTGTAAATCCAACATACAAAGGCAGGACTTCTATCCTCAATGGAATTCCATTCTACAAAGTCAAAACAAGTGCTTTCTCTTACTTCTCACTTTAGTAAGCAAGGTGCCCAGGTTCTGAAAGAGGTGAATCATGTGTTCTTTTATCCGGCCAGGAACCCTGAAGCAATAAAAGTCAAGGAAGAACATAAGGTGGTCACTCTTTTTTTAATATCATTTCATATTGTTGCTGCAAACTGAAAATGGAAAGTCATTTTACCCAAAAGTACCATCCACCTCCAAATCATCAATATTTTATGTTAGACTATTACGTTATCACACACACACACAATTGCACTCGTCTCACACACTAGTAAAGTAATGCTCAAAATTCTCCAAGCCAGGCTTTAGCCATACATGAACCGAGAACTTCCAGATGTTCAAGCTGGTTTTAGAACAGGCAGAGGAACCAGAGATCAAATTGCCAATATCCACTGGATCATCAAAAAAGCAAGAGAGTTCCAGAAAAACATCTATTTCTGCTTTATTGACTATGCCAAAGCCTTCGACTGTGTGGATCACAATAAACTGTGGAAAATTCTGAAAGAGATGGGAATACCAGACCACCTGACCTGCCTCTTGAGAAACCTGTATGCAGGTCAGGAAGCAANNNTCGATGGACATGAGTTTGGGTAAACTCTGGGAGTTGGTGATGGACAGGGAGGCCTGGCATGCTGCGATTCATGGGGGTGCAAAGAGTCAGACACGACTGAGCGACTGAACTGATTTGAACTGAACTGATTATATTATCACCAGTGTCAAAGTAATTATACTAATCCAACAAATAATTGCATTATACATCTAAGTTTTGGGCAGGAAAAGAAAAAAAAAGACTATATAACTTTGAAAAATATATGTAATGTTATTTCTTTGGCTTTCCACAGAAATTGTTCGCGCCATGACACATGTGATAAACCAAGGAATGGCCATGTACTGGGGAACTTCTCGCTGGAGTGCCATGGAGATCATGGTAATTCCATTTCCATTTTTAAATGACCATTGAGTACCTATTTTTATTTGTCAGATATCATGTATAAGTTGTAAGACCTTTTGCAAACTTTCTTCACAATCACAATGGCACCAGAATTCTATGATCAATTTCATCATTGTAGAGATGGATATGGGGGCGGGGGGTGGATCTTATCAGCTCAGAAAACAACATGGGGGGTGTAGGTCTCTAACGGGAATCATGTTTTAGCATGTTCTTTGGTAGTAGTTTGGTAGTAAGCGAGTAAATTACTCAGCTAATGAGACATATGACAGAATATTCCAGGGTTTTTCTTCTGATGTATTAAATAATGGTACTGTCCACAACATGTTAATTACAGATCATTTTAATATTATATATTAGTTAAGTTTTATTTCTTTAGGAACCTAGAAATAGTCAAACTATGTGTTCTATGTAATAGTTCATAATTCACACTTTGAGTAATTTCCCCTGGATTTTACTCATTCCAAAACCTCCCAAAAGATAATGGATTTCCTGAATTGGTATTTCTTAGTGAAATTGATGGTCATAATTTTGCTTATTATTTGACAATCTAGATTTTTCTTGGTTTGTATTGATTTCACTAGAAGAATTTTTTTCATGCATACAGACTTGTTTTTCATCAAAAGTAAATTCAGTTGCAATTTTGTTTCACCCTTAGGAAGCCTACTCAGTAGCAAGACAATTCAACATGATCCCACCAGTCTGTGAACAAGCTGAATACCATCTTTTCCAGAGAGAGAAAGTAGAGGTTCAGCTGCCAGAGCTCTACCATAAAATAGGTAATCTTCACAATCAAATTGACTCATTATCTTTAATAAGAGGATCAGGGATTCAGGGAAAAAAAAAAAGGTGCGACGGAAATGCTTTCCTAAACGTTCTTAATTAACGTAGGGATTGTCAGCACTATGCATTCCAGAAACTAGAAGAAATCAGAAGGACCTGTATGCAATCTCTGGAGTATCCACTCATGAAAGCCTAGCAGAGCTGGCAGACAAGCTGTTCTCAGTAGGTGTTCCAAAAAATGCGTGTAGCATGAAAGGAAGAAATAATGAATAGACCTGTTTTTCATAGGGTAGTTGCTCTAGACAAGAATGCATCTCTGAGTGGGGTTTCCCCAAAATTACGGACTTATATATCTGTATCTCCTACTCTGCCTGGAACTGAGTCAGAGGCGGGAATTCAAGAACGGCAGACAAGCCAGGAACACATGTTTGTGTAGGGTACATGTGATGCCAAAGGGAGGGGGGAAAATATATATACAACATGTACACAAGAATTTTGGATATCAGAAAAACTTCAGCCACATTTTCAGTCCTATTTATCAAAACAGGTTCCAGAGGTAACTTCTTCATAAGAAATGAGGGTTTACGTGAGTGGGGAAAATGCTGGGTAAGAAAAAAAGGGTAAGAAAAGTTCGACAGCAGTAACAGTGGTTGTCATGGCTACCACTGTGTGGTCATTGTGTGTTCTCTGAGGCACTGCGAGAACAAGCGAAGCACTGAATTTCTGTGCAAGCAAAAGTGCTTATCTCTGAGTGTGAAAAGAAATGTAAATTTGGGGCATCAGAAAACTATGGAGAAGCCACCTTTTCAGGCTTGATTATATGCCCTGCTCCCCATCACCAACAGTGCACAGCTGATGGGTCTATATTAATAAAAACGAAGCACACAGTTTGTAAATGCCTAAACTTTAATGGAAAGATTTATGCTGATATTAACTCATATATCTGGCCAGCTTTTCCCCATAACTAACCAGGTCCTTTCTGAATACCCACTCACTTTTGATCCCAGTTTGCAGAAGTAACTTTTTAAGGTTTTTTTTTCTTCTATAGGAGTTGGAGCAATGACATGGTCTCCACTGGCTTGTGGCATCATCTCAGGAAAATATGGAAACGGGGTGCCTGAAAGTTCTAGGGCTTCGCTGAAGGTATTTTCCTCCACCTCTAGGAAAGAGTCTGGGCATGGGAACGAGGGAGAAAAGGAAATGGAACAGAAGAGCCCAGCAGCAGCCTGCGGCTTCCTGGCTCAGGCCGTGTGGCCTCAGCCTGGCAGGCGTCCCCTGGCATTCCCCCAGCCCTCTAGAGGTCCCTGCTTCAGGTCAGGCATCAGTGCAGAAAGCTTCCCTCCTCTGTGGACCAGGAGAGATGCCCAGTGACCTGGTTGGATTCGTAGGACTCAATTTCCTACACTTATTTATTCTTATATTAAAGAAGGCATTTCATTCCTCCTTTGACACAGAGGGAAATGTAAAATCCATCTTCTATATAAGAGGATCTAATTTTACTTTTCTTAACAAAATTTAAGCCATAGAGGTTTAATCCATATGGGGCACACCGGTTGTACTTGAGTAGGTTTGAGGTCGGTTGACACTTCTTAATATGTGAAGGTGGGGGTTAAGGAGGGAAAGTTTGGGGCAGATACAGAGCCAGACATCCGTCGCTGAGGCTCAGGGCTGGCGTTCGCAGAAATCAACTCCGGCTGCTGAGTCTTGCCGCTTAAATTCTTCTCTGAAGAGTAAAGATATTCAAGATCACTGACATAAAATTAACCTCCATTCAGAACATCTTGATGATTAATTTATTGGAGAGTACTCCAAACATCTCTGCTTGTTAATAACAACATGTCTGTTTTTAAAAACTTGAGAGAATGTGTAATAACATTAGAATCACAAATTACTCTGTAATGTCAAGGGAGAGAGAATATTGGCATTTTTAAAATTCACACTTGCCAAACGCCCCCAAAAGGAAGCAGAAGTCTGACACAGCCTCTTGCTTCCATCAGCACAAAGTCAGCACAAGGACAACTCAAGTTAAGCCTGAACCAACAACCCTTTAATCAGTGTGGCTGGAACCACTGTATGCTTCCCCAGTCAGGACCTTCTCCAGGCTCTAGATCTATCACTTTTCTTTCTGACCTATTAGTGTGTTCGTTCTCTAAGATAATATATATATTTCCTAAAACATGGTGACATGGTCCTGCTTCTAGTTTTGTATTATTACACTAATTATCCTAGAATATTAAATATGGTCTGTGTCTGAAAAAGTCAAAGGTTTTGAAGAAGTTAGCAAAGAAAAACTAAAAGCATTTTAGGAAAGAAGGGATAAAAGGATGATGGCAAGAAAAGCATTGAAAATTGTGATTTTAGCTGAGCACCTACTGCGTGCCAAGCACTGGGATAAGTGTCTCTTTGTTTTTATCTCCTTTTATCCTCACAAAGATAAATGGATGCAGATGGCTTTTAGTCAGTTGTAGCTAAGGATGTAAGTCTCTTACATTCTTTCAGAGACTTTCTGAAAAACTCAAAGTGCTTCCATATACATGGGGTGTTTGTTCTTAGACTATCCTTATAAGAGGGTAAACCTTTTCCAGATGCAGAAACTGAGAACAAAGATATTAGATAACAATCCAAGGGCATAAACTCATAATAAAGTTAGTAGTAGAACCCAGGTCTCCTGGCTCTCAGTTCCTCTCCCTAAAGGCATTTTTGTTTCCCTTCAAATTAATGTTTTTAAATGAGGAAGAAGGAGCAGCACTGTATTTGGAGTTTATGATTGACTGATCTCCATCACTGTTTGAGAAAAGCTTACAAATAGCTGAAAAACTGCTTAAAATGCACTAACTAAAGGGGAGGGAAGGAGATGCAGAATATTTGAAGGTAGCTAAGCCCAAAAGCAACTCAAAAAATATTTCTTGTTGTTGACTTTTCAGCATTTGTTGAAGCATCCTTAAAAATAAGCATTAAAGAGTCTCCAAAGGTAAAAGGAAGCCCATCACAGAGCACACTTCTTAATTCATCAGCCTAAGTGCTTTGTTGACTAATATCTGTGCATTTAGAAAGGCCACTTGAGTAACTAAAGCAAAAATTAATGCCACTAATAATAATGCTTTATATATATGTATGTGTGTATATATATATATATGTATCTCAACCTTAAGAGTGAGCGAGAATTCTAATAGTAAAAACATTTTTTAAAAAAATGAAGAGCTAGGCAAATAGATAAATAAGATGGCAACTTTCACCTCCCCCAAAATAGAATGGTTGGTATTTCACACTGGCTATTTTAAGTTACACCAATAAAATAAAGACGCTAATATTTTATTTCTGTTGTAAACACTGAACTGTTAGGATAAATTAACTGAGTATTAAAAAAATATCTATCTTTTAGAAAGTAATACTACCCATGTGGCTTTCTGGGAGGCTGCATGTGGCCCACCCCTGTGACAAAGACTTCTGAATCCGTGTCATCGGCACTGACTTCACTGCTGAGCTAAACACCACTACTTCTTCGTGACTATTAGACACCACCACATGGATATCCTGCAGGCATCTGACATGCCTGATGGAATCTATCCACACTCCCCAAACCTGCCCAGAATCCTCAGTTAACAGTGCCTCCACCTTGCCTTGGTCATCCCAGTCTGAAGCCAAGGCATCATCTCAGTCTGCCTCTCCTCCTCCCTCCGTCTTATCCAGCAGGACACCAGCTCCTCCAGTCATATCCTGACCCTCAGTGGTCCTTCCCTTCCACTGCCCTTGTTTAGATCGCCATCATTTCTTTCCTGGTTTGCCACAGTAACCTCCCGTCCAGACTCTCTGATTCACCCCTCTTTTTCAACTACCCACCCATTACCTACTATCCATATTAATTATGTGACCAAATGCCTTTAAAAGATTAATCTGACTGTCATAACCCTGCCCTATATCCTTGATGACTTCCCAATATTGATTATATGACAAAACCTAAAAACCCACAGAAAAGTGTTCAAGGAAATACTCTTGGGGTCTTAACTGAGCCCAATTTCCCATTCTTGTCTCTCCCCAAATCATATTAGTTCATTTTTTCACCCAAATGCACTACACTTGTTTTTGCCTCCCAGAAATGCCCTTCTTTTTATCTGGCTGTGGAAAGCCATCTCTAAAGACAAAGCTTGGTTGTCTTCACTCTGTGAAGCCTGTCCTTACTTTGCAAAACTTCAGTTATTGGTAACTTCTAACACTCCACAAGCACTTCTTACAGAGTCTTAGAATCCTCTGACAAAATGCAGTTCAACTTAATCAAAGAAGGGAGCACACAGACAGACACTCCTGGGAAAGAGGGAGTGGGATGGCATCAGGGGTGATCTATCCACAGATTTGCCCATTGTCAGCACTCCCCATCTCCTCTGTTTCTCTCCACACGTGTCATTTTCTGCTACTACACATGGGTCTTCTTCATGAGCCCAGGAAGAAGGACGCTAGTGACTGCCAGGCTTACATCCTTAAAGGCATATAACCTGAGAGAAAAGAGATTTCTTTAACAGCTTCGGTACAGAGAAGACTGGCCAAGCTTGGGTCATGTGCCAACGTAGCAGACCAATGACGGGGGCCCAGAGGACCAGATGATGGGCCTCGTTCGTGTCTGGCACCGATGGTGGGCTATTTCCCACCATAAAGAGGCAGTGCAAACAGAGCTCCTGAGGAAATCCTCAGGCGGCACCCCAACTACAAAACACCTCTCAAGTTACCAGACAATGACTCATGAAAACCTTTAGGATAGAAACTGAAACTTACACAACTCACCACGGAGTTGGGCACATGATAAGTACTCAACAATTGTTTCTTGAATGAATACGATAAGCCACAACCAAGGATCAGCAATGTCTGATCAATAGACCAGGTGAAGGGAAGTGAAAGTCGCTCAGTCATGTCCGACTCTTTGCAACCCCATGGACTGTATAGTCCATGGAATTCTCCAGGCCAAAATACTGGAGTGGGTAGCCTGTCCCTTCTCCAGGGGATCTTCCCGACCCAGGAATGGAACCGGGGTCTCCTGCATTGCAGGCAGATTTCTTTACCAACTGAACTATCAGAGACCAGGTGAGCAGCTTTTAAATAAAAAGTTTAAATATAAATGAAAAGTGCAATAAGATTTATGAACAGATCTTCCCTATCATTAGGAAAACATATTATAGAGAAAAACAGAAAAATATATACCTTTTTGTCAAAGGGAAAGAGGAAGCATGCAAACATAGGTGGAGCAAAGGAATGGGGAGAAGGACGGTCCAAGAACTCCAGGTGTTCACATTAAGAAACTAAGGACATTTTCACATTATGGTACAATTTCAGAAGGAAAAACTTTAGCACCAGCATTTTACCTAGAGATTTGCACCTCAATAATGAAGACTTTGCTGCTCTTTTGAGCCAAAGACTTCAATTGTTTAGCTAGAAATAGTCAGTGGTCTTGAATGCTAAATTAGGCCCAGTAATGAAATGTGACTGATTCTGTCCATGGCTATACAGTTTCTGCCCAAGTTCCAGGCTGGGAACAGACAGCCAGTCAGGGTGTCTGGGGCATAGCGCACAGACTATTCACATCCTGTTACGGTTACCTATAAACTGGCAGTCACAGAGATAATGGCCACAGCATTAGAAGATGGAAAAGAAACAGGCTTTAGGAAATTTTAAAGAATTTTGTGACTTATGTATAAAAATAATAGCTCACTAATCTATTGAGAAGAAAGCTCATTCAGTTGTTCCCTTGGCAAATATTTACTGAGTGTCTAGTCAGGGCTGAGCCCTGTGCTGAGGACTGAGGAGACAGTGATGAATGGGACAGTCTCAACCCTAAGGAGTAACTCAGGGACTTGGAGACAGACATGAGAAGGGGTGAATTATGAAACTATGTGGAATCCACAGGCACTGTGGATACACATAGGGCTGCCAGTCGAAGGAGGAAGTGTGTTCAATCTGCAAAGTTGAAGACAGCTATCTTTACTGTGTGGAATCCTGGTTTCTCAGATCCCTTCCTCATCACCATGTTGGCTGAGCCCCTCCTCTCTGTCAATCACTGGGTCAAGACTGGAGATGCTGACACGAACAAGAAGCCATCCCTGCCTTCTGCTTAGTTACAAAGAACAATCTGCGTGTAATCAAATCACTGCAGGAATAGGATTAAGCAATATAATAGGAGTGGAAGACAAAATTTCATCTTTTGATTCACGGACTACTGCCTGCAGGCCACAAATTGGGATTATTATTGCGTACAACCACACCTACAGTCAATCTTCTTACCAAAACCCCTGGTTCACTTCCATACTTAATTTAAATTTTAGTTAAGCCTCATCTCCTCCCTATGCAAACATTTTCCCACTTGTAAAACCGTTAAAGCTATTTATTTCCAAAACACATTTGTTTCCTTTGGTATGAGGAAAGCAGTATGAATACTATGCATTTACTTTTATAAAACCCTATCCTGCTTATGTTTCCCAGTGATTAGAGCAAGATTTATGTTGAGGGTAGAGAGAAAAATACTCAATAAATGAATGTTTGGTATTTGTTAGTTTCAGAAATCTTCCTCTCAGAGCTTCCATGGTGGCTCAGTGGTAAAGAATCTTCCCGCCACTGCAAGAGACACAGGTTCAATCCCTGGTCCAGGAAGATCCCACATGCTGCATGGCAACTAAGCCCATGTGCCGCAACTACTTGAACCTGTGCCCTAGAGCCCAGGAGCTGAAATTACTGAGTCCACATGCCACAACTACTGAAGTCCCAGATCCTAGAGCCCGTGCTCCACGATAAAAGAAGGCACCACAGTGAGAAGCCTGCACACAGCAACAAAAATCCAGCACAGCCAAAAATTTAAAAAATAATTAAATTAAATTAAAAAAGAAATCTTCCTCTCGGTATGGTATGCGTGTGTAATGCAAACATTACATGCACTCATGCACACACGCTCAACACACATATCTAACTTGTAACTCACTCCTAAGAATAAAAATGTGTTGCAGATAATAAGATTTCAAAAACTAGAATTTCATAATATTGATAAGTCAGTCAATTATTCTTTATTCTTTATGTGGTATATACTGAAACCTGAGGAACTCTCCTAGTAGTAAAAAGCAATAGCTCAAGAGGCTTTTGGCTATTGGTTTTCAAACTTTTTTTTTCATTTGAATAAGAGATACTGGTCCCTTGAAAGATGTTATGAGACTGAAATGAGGGTGGGTGATATTTTTCCCCTTGAGGACAGTAGAAGTAAGTTCAGGGGCTTTCTGATGTACCCAGCAAGCTGCCGGGGAAGTGTTGCTTGCTCTTAACTGTCCACCTCATCACTGCTGGCACCAGCCATCATCTCCAGAGAGATGCCCAGGCTGTGCTTCCTTCTGGAAGAAGCTGAGGTCTCTGGAGCTGAGACTGGGAAAACTCTTGACCATTTTGCTAAGTAAACTTCACGTAAGGAGCCAGACCATAAGCCCCTGAGATCTAGGAGGAGAACAAAACTGGGTCTGCTTATTCTTTCTTCTTTTCATATCTGCAAAATCATTCCAGAAATCATAACAAAACAGTGCAGTTGCCTTTTTCTGTGGAAATAGTGTCTTGCAATGGTGAAAAAAATACTTGAAAGCCAGCAGCCTACTGAAATCACGTGGGTGGAGATTTGGTGATGACTGCCCAGCTTTCTGCTGCCTTTGAGACAGAAAGGGTCTGTGATGGCAACTATGTCACAACACATACAATGAAGGAAGTCCACTTGGCCACACAGGGGATGGTTCTTATTATTGTCACTGAAACAGACCAACATTCTTACAGATATTCTTTTCCTTTGGGTGCTGCTGTCCAGGGCTAGTTTTGTACATAAGAGTCTGTTGCTCCTTGTTTCATAGTAAGAGCAGAACCTTCTGGAAAATAGGGCATTGAGAAGTTCTAAAAGATTTCTTTCCTTACATTTAGGAAATTAGGCACACTTTATAGGCTACATCAGAGTCAGCCTCGTCTTACAGGTTTTAAAGATTAGTTTCCCATTTACCTTTATAAGCATCCTTGCTTTTTTAAGTTTCAAACATTATACAAAAATGCAATACACATTTAGGAAAGTCTTTACCCACTTTATCCACTTTAAAAATGTACTGGCACCTATGTGTTATACCATTCACATCTGCTTCTAGAAAGGAGTGGAGAAAGCTAACGATAAAACCGCATTAAGAGAATACAGGAGAGACTAGGAGTAAATTGAAGGCAAGAGGGAGAAGGACAGCTATAGCAAGAATGTAACATAATGACTTCCTTTGAGCAGAAAGCTTGGCACCCAATTTTCTGCACAAAAAAAGAAACTTAATAGACCTTGGTGAAATGTAAATACCTTCCTTCCCCCACCTACATTCTAAGGGCTATCACAGTAAGAACCATCTTTTCCAGATGGGATATAATTGATTATATGTCAGGATTTTAACAACTTTTGTACATGTCGATGGATTTGAATGGTGAGCTTTAGACAAAATCAATCTGTCTTGAACCAATAAATAAGGAGTGAGACCACGGGGAACATTTCTTTGCATGCAGACATAGGCGTCCTTGTTTCCATCAAACAGAAAGGTCAGAGCCAAGAAGGCTCAGGAATTCACCACAAGGCTCTTACATTTAATAGAGGTAACAGTCTGTGCATCAAACCCTCCCCAGAACATTAACATTGAAATGTTCTTCTTATCTCTAGTGCTACCAGTGGTTGAAGGAGAGAATTGTGAGTGAAGAAGGGAGAAAACAGCAGAACAAGCTGAAAGATCTCTCCCCGATCGCAGAGCGTCTGGGATGCACGCTACCTCAGCTAGCCGTGGGTGAGTCGCTGCGGAGAGAGGCCCTGCTGGGCCACAGAGAATGAGAGCATTCTCTGTTATTGAGTCACATCTCGCACATGATAAATACCTAGTGTAGGGGCAGACGCTCTGAATCAGACACTCCCGGTTAACTCTGTTGAAAATGAGGCTTTGTAGAGTTCCTCAGAGTGTTCCACGCGCTGAGACACTTTGCTCACTTCCTCTCCTTTCCCTTACAAGACAGTTTAAACAAGAACATGTCGGTGAAAACGCACACATCCTCACAGCGTCAAGGGTGAGCGTCCCTGAACTGTGTGGTGACATCCACTGCTTCTGGCTCAGTTTTCCTTCCCTGTTGAAGCTGAGGCCGGGTTGGTGAGAGGCTGAGATGCAGGGCTGTGACTGAGGCCAAGCCACTCCCACTCGGAAAGCATGTCTTAGGGGAGCAGCGTCTCAAAACTTCTGGGGGCCATGAAAATGATCGGAGTCAACAAAAGCTCAGTTAACGGTGACAACTGAAAACC